CAACTCTGATATTCTATGATTCTATGATTCTATGATTCTAAGAAGCACTCTGGACCCAGGACCATTGACAGGAGGGAGGGCAGAGCACATGCCGTCCTGCCCGCTCCCCGGCAGGACTAGCAGCAGCCAGGCCGGGGTTCATGCTGCCTGGGGGGGCTGAGCTCTCCTGGCTCCAGCGGCTTCGCTTCTGTCGGCGTGTGGGGGAGACAAGGCCCTGCACCCCCCTTTCTGCAATGCACCAGGACTCGCAGCCAGCCAGTAAAGCAGAAGGTTTATTTAGACGACAGGAACAGTCCAAAACAGGTCTTGCAGGTACAGACAACAGGACACCCCCCCCCAGTTAGGTCCATCTTGGGGGCCCCAGGGACACCACAGCCCCATCTGGGCTCCCCTCCATTTTCCCAGCCAGCTCCAAAACTGCAACTCCCTCCAGCGTCTCACTCCACCTCCTCCCCCAGCCTTGTCCGTTTCTCTGCCTGCCCACTGCACCCTGATTCCCAGCCACCCTTGGGACCTTTGATTTCCGCCCTGTCTCATTGCACCCCGGGGGTCGGGCCACACCGGGCTTGCAGAACTGCCAGGCAGCTGGCACTCCACTGCCCATGACCCACTGTCGACACACACAGACCATGGGAAGTCCCAGCCCAAGGGGCTCCTGGTTGGCTCCCGCCCTATATAAACCCAAGGGGCCGTCCAGGCAGCAGCGTGACTCTCCTGTAGCTGCCACTCATAGCCCTGCTCCTGAATGCCTGGCTTCGGCCTCCCCTCGGTTTGGACCTTGCCTCCTGACCCAGCCCCTGAAATCCGACTCGAACTCGGCTTCTTGATATCAACGCTGGCCGGGAACCTGCCTACAAAACTCCTCTGATCCCCCAGCCTCAGGTTTGTTCCTGCTCTGACCCTTGGTCCCAGCTGCCCCGTCAGGATCCTGACGCCTGCTTCCTCCGATCAGTCAGTGCTCACGCCATCCGCCCGCTGCAGGACGCAGACCAGCCCCTCGGCAGTGGGCAATGGAAGAGAGCCAGTATTTCCCAGAATCCTTCACTGCTCCCAGGGCCGGCTCCAGCATTTCTGCCGCCCCAAGCAAAAAAAAAAAAAAAGCCGTGATCGGCGGCGGCAGTTCAGCGGCAGGTCCTTCGCTCCTAAAGGGAGTGAGGGACCTGCCGCCCCCGAATTGCCGCAGGTGCCGCCCCTCTCCCTTGGCCGCCCCAAGCACTTGCTTGTTAAGCTGGTGCCTGGAGCCGGCCCTGACTGCTCCCCACATCCCTGCCCTCCTCCCTGGCCTTGCCCCTGCTGGGCTAAACACCACTGACCTCAGCGGGCCCCAAAAGCCCTGTCTAGGCGTGATTCTTATTACACGTATATTGCAGCAGCAGCTGGTGCCCTCGCTGAGCTCGGGGCCCCAGCGTTCTGGCTGCTACACAGACGTGGCGAGAGACGGAGCAGCTCCAGAGTGCTACAAGCTAAACGCAGCTTCCACGTTCCCGCTTATGCTGACGGGTAGCGAGCACAGCGCCTGGCAGAGGAGCGACCGTGCCCCCCAGCAGCGCCCTGGCGCAGCTCCTCTCTCCTGGTCCCAAGCCGCCTGTGGACACAGGAGGGAAGCCGCCTGCTCTGGAGAACCAGCCGCGTGGCTGGTTAGAACCAAGGCAGCGGCTGGTGGCTGGGCACATGGTGTTGGATCCGCTCGCTCTCGGCAGAAAAGCTCCGTTCCTTTGAGCTGAGCTGAGTTCTTCCCAGGAAACCTGAATTCGTCTCTGATGCTCCTGGCCCAGCTAAAGTAAATATTTGAGCCTGGGCCCTGTGCAGTGCAGCGCACTCCCTGCTCCCCTCCCGCAGCCTCGCCTGTCTCCTCCTTGGCGCTTGCATGCGTGATTTATCCCTAACACAGGTCTACGCGAGCTCCTGCCTCGACGCTCGTCTCTTGTAGACTTCAAATTCCAGCCCAACGTCTCCTGCCGCACACGTTCCAGATCCCCACAGCCCGGCACCGCCTGCCCTGCCGGCCCAGCACCAGATAGTGCGAGGAAGCTGACGCCCAGGGGCCAGGGGCAAGCTAGACTGCTGGACACGAATGTGACCCCACTCCATGCCAGGACTACGGGCACCAGGCCGAGCCAGTCCTGCTGGGATGTGTCACCGCTGACCTCCACCAGCAGGACCTTTCCCTAGTCTCGGCGTAAGTTGCCAGTTTGTTGTTTTTAGTCTGTCCCTGGGCCTCCGCTCCCTTTTCACACTATAACCCCCCCATGCCCGGGCTTGTTCCTCACCTAGTGCTTTCATAGCGCTGCTGCCCGAGAGGTGCCAGCCGGGGGCCCCTTGTGCTTCTGTGC